ACCTTTCAAGTCTCTTGCCACCTTGGCCATCACAGCTGAAGGGCTTGATTACAGCTCATTAGAAAAAGCTCTTGGGCAGGTAATATGTATTGTAAATGATCTCATAGGAACTGGTTTAGAGATAGAAATGTTTGTATTGATTTATGTCCTTTGTGTTTATTTTGTATATACCCTGTGTAAAGATATAATATAATATATTGGTACAAGTACGTAAAATATTTTAAAACTATAGTTAAGGTTAGTGAGAATGAAGTATGGAAGGTATGTTTTAAAAAATTATGTTGTGAATATTATATGAGTAATAACATTCAGAGGCATTCATTTCATTGTTATTACTATGTTAGTATAAATATAGCTTTTGTTTTGAACTACGAAAAAAAGTAGTTAAAATTATATTAAAATCTATACTATTCTGCTTGTTTGTATGTTCGACCAATACGCTTTCTGACCAAGAACCTTCCACATAAGCATGCGTAGTTAGAATGTTTCCCCAAGAAAAACCGCGCATGTGCATTATTAACTCGACGACAAACAGTCTGCCTGCGTCAGAGAGCTGCAAAGCTCAGTGATCAAGTTGCTACAATTGCTGTATGAAACAAGAAGTAACAACAAATGGGGAATGTAAATATACTTTACTAACCATTTTGTACAACAGAATATTAAAAACTTATCAACATTTTAAAAAAAGTTTCATGTTAGGTCCTAGAATAACATTATAAGTTTATTTATAGATTGTTTTAAGTACAGTAAAGTTTAGTCCTAACTAAACTAAAGTAAAAAAAAAAATTCAAAGGTTACGGGGTTAATTATCTCTTTATCAAACTTAGGCCTAACATAAGTTAAAGTTTCATAAAGTACGGCCTATATACAGGTGTATTTACACATTTAATTTTCTATAATTACAATTCGTTTGTATTGTGCTAGAAATGTTATATTTAAAGAAGTACTGTTACGATAAAGATACTAATTTGGCCGGAAATGTTTTGCGGGTCTCTGCTAGTTTTGTCAATTAAAGCGTTTTAATCTTATTCAAAATCTTTGAGTCCCTTGTTAACTTTCATCTGTTAGTGATATCAAATATAATACTAGTTATTTAATTTTATGCATGTTTTTGTTTGTTTCAGTCTGGTGGCTTTGTTTTCAAAGGGTTGAAGTTTTCTGATGGACAGCTTGGTAGTCGTGAAGTGTGTGTACAGTGGAACAATCTTAAAGACTACTTTCGACTGGAAATTGTTGCTGGACCCCCAGCAAAGATTATATATCCAGGGTTTGATACAAGTCAGGTAGGTAAACTTTTAGTGAACTAGAACATACAGTTAATTGGTAAATTTTAAAATAAGCTTTTAGGTTTTCTAAAACTATTACTCTTTTATTTTATTAAAGAAGTTTAATTGTAAAATGCTGGAAATTAGTTGCAAAAATTTTAATTACTTAATAACAATAAAATCTGCTTTATTTTCATATCTTAAAAAAATATTTTTATATATTACTTCTGATGAAAATCCTGTTTTATTAATATACTAATTTTATATAAGTATATTTATTCATGTAAATAATTGTTTCAAGTATAGAATCTTGAACTATGAGTATCTATTTAACTTCATAATAACGCTTCAGTTTAAACTCTGATTTGATTCTTTCAAAGAAGATAAAGATGTTTAACAGAAATAAAATAATGTCAAAAATATTTTTTTGCTAAAGAGATTAATTTTGAAATCTGTCTAACTTAAAGAAGATGATTAGTAAAAAAAAAGAATTAAAAATAATTTCCGCTGGAATGATTAATTTCAGAAATAAATTACATTTGCTATGCTAAGTTTATGATAATTAAATCTGTATATTTTGTCTCAGTTTATAAATATCAAAAGTATACAAATATACCATGAATTTATGTTTTATTCCTGTAATGTTTATTTTTTTTATAGATTTACATTGTTTATAATGACTCAAGACTTCCGAGTAAGTTTGTGGTTCAGCTCTGTGATTCCTGTGGAAATCCCACTCCAGAAGAAAATGTAAAAATTATGCTTGGGTTGGATACGGATTTAAAGGTTTATAGACATTTCTTTTGTGACAAAAATTAAAATATGGTATGCTTGAAGCTTCTTGTTCCCCAGTGGGATAGTGGTAAGTTTACGGACTTACAGTGTTAAAATCTGGGGTTTGATTTCCAGTGATTGACATAACAAATCATCCAATATGGCTTTGCTCTAAAACAAACAAACTTGAAGCTTTTCTGCAGTTTGCTTTGATATATTTCATCTGTGTTTAATATGTAAGTATTTCAAAATTTAAGCCTTCTACTGAGTGATATACAAAGAAAGTGAATTGTTTGGCTATAGGTTCAATCACATTCTCACAATGGTTCTTTATTTGCAAGTTGTCTGTCAGTGAATAGTGTAGAAATTTACTTATGTAAACCAAATTAAAATTTAAAAATTTTATTCTGAATTGAAAAAATTGGAAATATCTCCAAGCTTTGATTAACAGTTTTTAAAGATTTTCTGATGTGAGGGCCAGTTGGTTATCATGTTGGAGTGCATGGTTCTCATCCCATTGCCTTAAAAATGTACTCTACATTTCGGGGCATGCCCAAGGGGTACACTCTAAGATTTATGGTCAGATCCCATTATTTAATGAAAGTAAGCCACGAGTTGGCAGTGGGTGCTTTTAACAAATTGCTTTCCATCTAGTTTATTGATTTAAAATCAGAGCTGTGTAGCTCAGATATCACTTGAATAGCTTTGCATGAATTTCTAAAACAAGCAAACAACTGATGTGGATGATGATAATTTGGTCTTATGTTTTTGTTATAAGAAAAGCAAAGCAATAGATTTTTGTAGCACTTAGAGATTTTATTCAGTAAAGGAAATTGCAAGGAAAGTGTTTCCAGATAATCTCTTTCAGTAACAGAGCCCCCCCCCCCCCCTGGCAGCCCCCCCCCCCCCCCTCCCCCCAGTGTCTGGGTTTTGATGCCCATGGTGGGCAGAGCACAGATAGCCCATTGTGTAGCTTTGTGCTTAATTACAAACAAACAGTAACAGAGTTATTAAAAGAACTGTTGTTGTGATAAAACATTCTCAGATGTTTGAATGTCTCTACTTTTTGTTGACTCTTAGCAGAATAATTATGAAAATAGAAATAGTTTTACACGTGTTTCCCGTTATTAGACTCTGAAAAATACAAATGTTAAATTTCACAACTTGTTGATATTTCGCAGATATTTCAGTGTTAGAGTATAAATTCAAGATTTAGAGATTTTCCACAAAAGGCAAAAGAAAAAAGGATTTTTTTTTTCCTGCTTTTGTAGATCACTCCAACAACAACTGTACAAAAAACTGATAAAAATGGACAAGCAGACTTTGGTATACTTACAGTTGCAGTTCGTGGAAGGTGAGATAAATGTGTGGATATGAATCTAAATGTTCATGATAAACTTTGCAAAAAGTTTCCAATGCTGAATAAAAATAAAGTTCTTTTTCATAAGTATTGTATAGTTGAGTCTGTTTTTTACATAAATGTCTAGTCATGCAAATCCTTGCTGTTTTGTACAATTTTAAAGAATATTTATTTTCCAGAGTTTAGTTTTGATGATCATACTATGAAAAGTAAAGTTTGCTTGAGAAAAAATTAAATGTGTTTACAAAGAAAGATAAGAAATTATTGAAGAATAAATATAATAAGTGCACTAAATGATGATAAATATATTGAAGACTTGTTTTGAACAGTCAGAAGCCAGGAAAGTGCCCCCTTTCTCAGTGCTCACAGAAATGCCGTGGAGTTTTCTCAATCTGCGCAAAGGGTTCCTGTGGGCGTGTACCAATCACTGGCCCATTATTAAAGATTCACATGCCTTGTAACTTATTGAAGCCTGTAGAGATAAAAGTGGACTACGACCAAAGTAAAGAACTTGTTCCTGGAATGGAATTTCCAGGTTTGTGCCATAGATCTAAACCTAGATCTGGTTTTCAAAATATTTATTTCCACATTGATAACTTTATTTAGCAAATTAAAGAAATTTTTTTTTGGCTTGGAATTTCCAAGTTTGTGGCATAGTGCCATTACTAGATCTAATTTTCAAAATATTCATGTCTACTGTAATAACTTTATCAGCACAAAATGCAGATTAATATTGTAATGAATTATTCTGACACAAGAAGTTACCACTAGGCACGCTAAGAGTTACGTTTATAAGTATTCAGAAAAACATTCATGTTTTCTCTTGCGTGTACATATTTTTGAAAGAAAGTGTTATATTCCCAAAAATGGGCCCAAAGGCCACCTGGAGGAATCACCTGTTTTAAACACTTACACCACTATACAGTAGTGTGTTGTCTGTCAGTCAGTGAACACTAAAATGATATCACATAAGTGATGCTTAACATTGCAGTTTGTTGTGTCGTGACATCAGCAAAATGTGTGCATGCCACGAATCATGAGAAGAATTGTGCACTCTGTAGGTTACAACACAGCATGACATATGAACTTCAAAAGCAAGAAATAAAAATATTTGTTACTCTTAATTTTGGTTTTATTTACTCTTAAAACAAACACTTTTGGGGACCCTATGGATTATCCTTTTTATTGGAAATTCACAGATCTCAAAATTGGTTGCTTTCTTCTTCATCAACAGTTCAAAATTGGGAATGGCAACAGGTAGCTTTACTAGCTTTGCCATAAACAAAACAAATGAATAATTTGTACCCACTACCATTCCATCAATTTTTCTTGTGTGGTGAACCTTGATGTTTGATGCTTGTTAATGAGAATGTGTCTTTTTCAAATAGCTTGTCAATATTAAATAAGATTTCCCCAGAAACATATTTTGTCAGTTTTTGATATCAAAATGAAACTGTACATTACAGCCACTTGAATTAAACCGAATCTCATAGCTTTAAAATCCACTAACATAACTGTAACAATACATACATAGGAAAGTTTGTGATTTATTTGTTAGGAGAATTTTCAGAATTGTACACTATTCATACATGGTGTCAGAATTTACAGCTTTAGACATTTTCTGTATCATGTTTAACATACTTGTAATCTTACAGTGTTTTCAGTTCATCTGATAACAGAAGATGGCGGTATCTATATGCCCGGGAAAGCATCTCAAATCTGTATGAAGCTTTGGCAAACAAGAAAGACCCGTGGAAAATCACCTGTTAAGGCAAGCTATTTTTTAGCTTAATTCCACACATAAAAAAATATTATTTTCAGTGGAGTTTCATTTGTAATTTGTTGTGTAGTGTTTAAATGAAGTCCAAGTGAGCTTTATCTATTTCTTATATCACATTTTTTGTTTTTACTGTGATATAGGTGTGCATCTGTACGGACTGAAATGGCACCGAAAAGTTTCCATATATAAACACATTAAAGACATTGCTTGCATGAGTATCATAAATAGTTTAGTTGTGGGGTTCAAACTGAAGAACTTCTGCTCTATATTTTTGTTGCAGTGATTAAAGTCTCGTGTCAACATTTTCATCAGATTTTTTACCCATTATTAAATATTAGGGAGAATCTGAACATTGTAGATATTTTACTGTTGTACATTTTACACTTATCATTACGAAAGAGTAATATCTAGATTAAGTAAAACACTTTTAAGCAGTTTTCGTGTACTGATATTAATGGGGTTTGTTTTAAAATTACTTTATATGATAAAAATTCTGTGTAGTTATCAGTATGATGAAAATAATCTTAGTCATTCATCAGATGTAATGTTTTCAAAATATTTAAACACTCAAAAAACTCAGACCACCAGTGCATTGTTTGTTAAGGGAAAGCTCTCACTGAGCTTTCCTCACTTGTATATTCCATATAGCTTGGTATTGAATTATACATTTTATATGTAATTCTAGGTTGAGATATATTGAACTTTTGAACAAATGAAGAAATAGGACCAAAAAACTTGAAGAAAGCATTAAAAACATAAGAAATTAAAATACTATAGAGCAAGCGATTGCTGGCTAAAAACAGGTTCTTATCTTCATGACTATTTGAATTAAAGTCTGGTTCTTCCTCACTATGTGGCCATAGAGATTATTGGATTTAGTGTTATTTAATAACCTCCATTGATTAGATCTGTACAATCTACTGGCATCTTAACCCTTCATCACATGATGGGTAGACAGTTGTTATACACTTTTTAATTTCTGTTGATGTCTCTAAATTAAAAAAATAGGGAAATGAAATCTAAAAATTAAATTTCTTCTTGTTAAAACAAGTAGCAAACACTAAAGTATAGTTGTTATGTTGCTACAAACAGGGATTTTAATTGTGTGTTCTTATGCTTATACTTTCCAAGAGTTGACAGGTTATTAGTTGGAGAACTAATTACCTCACTATATCTTTGTGTGTCTTATACAGACAAACAGTCAAAGTCATCACTGAGCCGTAGTTAGATCGTGTATCATAATGCAGTCAAATATGTATATTTTCTGAAACATGATCCTGTGTGACCAAATACACATACTACATTAATCCTGTGTGCACGACTGAAGGTCAAAGTGCGTATGCCACAACCCTTTACAAAGTACCATTGAAAATGGTATATTATGTATTTCATGTCAGAGTTATCAACCATTCATTTTACCTTACGTTACTGATTTAGTGATAGTTTGTGATAGAGGAGAGTAAATACCTGGAACAGTATAGAGGAATGTTTAAAAAACTGTACATATGTATTGTGGAGGTTTTAGAGGTTATTAAAATGCAAAGTGAAAAATGGATAAAAGTGTTTTTATTCTTCACATAAACTTCAACTTGCTCTTTTGACTTGTGAGAGTCAGACCGATGTTATCAATTTGCAGACATATCTTGAGTACAAATACTATTGTAACACACCTGATTTTTTGTGTACAACAGACTTGTACATTTTACTAAAAAGCTTGCCACAATTCAAATAGATACACTTACTATATTTAGTATTATAATCAAAATTCCTTCTTCAATATGGGGTCTGCCCAGTGGACCAATCCTATGCACACTTGGTTATTCTGTACATATTAATTCCTGTTTCATGTAAAAATACCAATTCTGAAAAAAAAGATCTAAAAAGATGGTGGAAAAAATACTTGTTTTAGTTTCAGAAAACAACATAAACATGACTCACCTCAAGTGGATGTGAAGCATGCTAGACACTATTGTCTTTCATATGCTTGTAAAATTTCTTCATGTTGGTAACCAGTTGAATTTTAACTTCTATCTTCTTTATCATGTATCTATCCTGCAAATTTTAGACAGTGCTTTTTACTCACCAACATTTAGATAGAAGACAGAGAAACGCAAAGTAAACAAGTCTAAAAATACAGATTTGAATGTTAAAAAGAAGGAAAGATTACGTGCTTTTATTCTGGAAAACATTTCAAAGACAACTCGTACAATGTTTCATAAACATTTTCAGGCAGAGAAACATGGTTTACTCAATGTTAAGGAAATATGTATCATGTTACTTTATAATACCACAGTAAACATGTATTAGTGATCTTGGGATATGACAGGACACAGTTTGTGAAATATAAGTGGATCGTTAGAGTATTGGTTCTCAGTCTGTGGTCTTCTGCTTCCATTGAAGTGGTCCTGGGAAGGTTGCATAATTAAGGAAAGGAAGAGGCGGTATAATGTATTGATTCCACTGTGGTCTTTCAAGATGAATAAATATTCAGGTGCTCTGCGAACAGAAAAAGAAGTTTGAGGAGCATTACTTTAGAGTATTTTTACCTACTTATAAAGAATTATTATTAAGTAAGAATTGAATATTTTCAGATCATAACAATTAGATGTAAGAAAAGCATTATTTGCTATTAATATTCTAAACAATTCTTTGTATATATATATATATATGTATGTATATTCATAATTGAGGAAAACAAACAACTTACGTTTCACAAATACTTCATTTATCAACAACCATGGTTTTACCTTTAGAGATGAAACCATGGTTGTTAATTGATAAATGATGTTGTCTTTGTTTTTTTTCCTCAATTCTGTAGTTATGGAGTTTAACCAAGTACTGATGGTTTCAAGTATCAATTATATATCTATTCATTTATCATGTAAATTGCATTATATTTTGATGGCTAATAATTAGAGTGCTTTTCTGTGTGTGTGAGTTTCAATGCATATAACTATATTTTCTTTGTGTATATATATAGCCAGTTACACTCATGCCATCTGATCCTAGCCCACAGGATGATCCTGGGATGTTTTATTTTAGGTAAGTGAAAATTCGTTGTGTTTAATTAAAGCTTTTTGTAGCTCATCTGTTGCAATTGTATATGACACTAATTTTACTTCCCTCAGTTATTTAAGATATTTGAAAGAAACAAAGATACTAAACTAAGTTTATAATGAATTCTTAGTAATACGAATAGTTTTGAGGTTGATCAGATCTAAAAAAAAAATTGACCCAAACCATAGAAATGTTTTGTAGGCTTGTTGAAGCTTGGTTTTTCACTTCTTAATAGTGTATCAGTCGTACAAAATAGTTACTATTATAATTACTGTTTGAGGCATTTCTTGCAATACTGAGTTGATTGTTTATTAACGTGTATCTCTTGCTGACAGTAAATCACATAGTTCTGAGTTCTTTTGTAATTTGTCTCTTTTTTTTTTAGCTTAATATGACAACTTCAATTCTTAGAATTAATAAAAAATATTGTATAGAATAACGTGTTTTCAAAATGCTTGCTTTTTTCACCTTGTTTTTATCCTAACATCAGTGGCATTAAAGTTCTTTTTACATAAAGAATTCACAATTGTTTGCTCTTCAGACATTTTTATGTTCCTAATTGTCATATATGTTCTATAATTTTATATATTTATATTTTTGTTATTGATTAAATTCATTGTAAATAACCCAGTATTGTGTTAGTATTTAGTATTGGTAACTAAAGAATTTCATAATTATATATCTTCTAAAACTTATCTCCAAGGTAGAAATAACTTATAACTGAGTGTAGTGTGTTTTGTAAAGAAACCCTCGTAGAACAGTAAACATTAGTCTGAAGAGTTTGTGACGTTTAACTAATAATAGCATAAATTCATGAGTATTATGTCATTTAGCAACTACAGTTCTAGGTTTTGATTAGACATAAAATTAAATAAATGTGAAATTAATTTATTCAGATAATTGTTGAAAGACTCCCAAATTTTTATTTGCACCAAAGCCATCAAAGCTCTGGCAATAGGCTTGGGTTGAGGTGGACTGATATAATAATGGCCTTTTTAGTTAACTTGATTTGAAATTTATACATGCACAGAGAAACATATTTTATGTCGTGTAAAATAATAGAAAATTTAACAGGCTGTTATCTGGAAGTAGATGTTGTTCTTGATTGCTATGGTAATTGTTAAAAAAAATGGATTAAGTTTCATACGGTAATTTTGGTTTCCAAAATTTCAGAAATAAATTGGTTCCCAAAGTTGCAGATTCGTACAGTTTACAGTTCATCTATGATGGAGGTTCTAACGTTCTAGCGAGTCAAGTTGTAAGTAGAATGTTAATGTTTAATCTTTTACAAGACATATGATCATATTTATGTGTATAGGATCTGTTTCTGCAAGAACTTTTCACATTTTGTTAGTAGTAATGTAGTTCATCATTTGTTTAGCCTCATGAACTTTGCTGTATTTCAATTTATAATTTAACCCCTTTCTTATGATGTTTGTCACAGGAGCATATTACAACATTAAGTTTTTAAAAATTCTAATTACCTATCTTAACTCACTTACAAAACAAACTTACCGTAGCTAAAATTTTATCTTTACATAAATGTTATGAACATATTTTTTGGTAAAGTAACAATAAAAATAACGAAATCCAATTAGCTAACTCTAATTTTGTTTTTTTATTTCCTCCCATATTATTTTTAATTAGAAAGTGAAAATATTTAAAATTCCATTTTCAATATGACAGTATATGAAACATAGCTGAAATATTTGGTGTTTATACGTTTTTTTTGCTTATTTTTATGTCACATAATTTGAAAAGATAATTTGATTTTTATTATTGCTAATAAATATGTCTAAAACCTGAAAACCAGGTCGTTGATTATAGTCATGTTGTGTAATGATATAGTATATATTATATAATTATGTTATGCTGTTTTTTATTTTTATTTCATTAAAAATTATAAATTTGATAAAATAAATTAAGGTTCAAAAATTTTCAGTCAATATCATACTTTATATCTGAAGAGTCAGTCAGTGTTTCAGGTATGATCACATATATGAGTTATTAATTTTTATGAATGCAATTGCAGAATGGCCCAGCATGGCCAGGTGGTTAGGGCACTCAACTCGCAATCTGAGTGTCACGGGTTCGAATCCCCATCCCACCAAACATGCTTGCCCTTTCAGCCGTCGGGGCATTATAACGTGACGGTCAAAAACAAAGAAGCAAATGCAGAATTGGTACTATTTTGCACTGAGCTGGAAGGGTTAATGTCATCATCAGGGAAAAACTGGGGAGTACTGTAACTGTCAGTTAGATACTAGTGAAACTAAAGTCAATGTAGTGCTTAACTATCTTTACACCGTTAACAGTATTTTCCAAAATGACATAAATGTTTATTAGATAGAAATTTGGCTTATATATCAATAATACTTTTAAATATTGAAATATAAACTAAAAAAACTGTAGTATGTATCATTTCATATCTATTCAAGTTTATGTAAGAAAAAAATTTAATTCATTTTTATACTACAGTTATAGTAGCACATCATCAAGTTGTGTTTGCCATGTTCAGTCATATTGGCACATCTTCATATTTAATGTTGCTGTGGGTCAGGAGAAATGTTTTTACTCTGTGAAATTAATAGCTTTGAATCATTGTTCAATAAGTTTGCTTAGTGGCTAGAATAATGAAAGTTACATTTGTTAGAACAGAGTGTAAGAAATATATCTTAATGCACTTAGTAATATTCAGAAATAACATTGACATGTTTGAAGTTGTTATTCTGTACAACTCACTATTGTTGATAATCTTACAGAAGGAAGCTCTAACATTCCTATCTAACTAAAGATGAACTATGTTCCAAATGTTTACAATAGAAAGCATTTATTTAATGTTATTTATTATAAATAATCATATATTTATATAAAATCAAAAGTTTTCACTTTTAACTGGTATAAAATAAAAGTATTTTTTATCCACTTTTATTTTAGGTATATTTCATTTAAATAATTTTTGACTTTTGTAATGGGAACACTTTCATTTCTGTACTTGCTTGCTGCATTTCGTAACTATTCATTTCTTAAAATATAAACTCCCCCACCTACTCCTGTGGCTCAGTGGTAATCCTGAGAGTCTATAATGTTTGTGTAGCCTTGAGTCTAACAACAAACAAATTAGAACATAAACATTCTTGAACAGAGCTTTCTGTGAGAATTTTGATTGAATTTTGGTTTATTCCTGTATTTTGGGAATTAAATTTTCCAGATTCCAATTGTTGTACCACCTGGTCTTCCAGTAAAACTTGTCCCTCGAGAAGATCCAGGCATACCAACTGTGACCAATACACAAAAGCCTAACTCTAGGCTTGTAGTGAAGCACCTTGTGTTAGAACTAAGAGTAAGTATGCAGTCTAAGGATCAGGATAAAAAGTAACCAAGTCCACTATGAGTAAAAACATTATAACGTTTTATTGAAACTAAACTGAAAGGGTAAAAATCATAGTAATTACAAACAGGATTGATTATTTTATATTCTTAGCCATTACCATTCTTCAGAAGGCAAAATAACATCTTTTTTCTCTCTCTGTCTATGTATGTCAATTAACCTTATTTCTCATGTATCCAGAAAATTAACAAATAAGTTATTTATTATAAAAAGCAAAGAAATTACTATTATTGGTTTCTGTAAATCAAAACATGTTTCAGTGACAAGCAGTGCAGTTTGATTACCCTCTAATATTGACAAAACCTTGTCGAAACGTTATACATTTGCTGTTATGTTAAACTTATATTAAAGTTTTTCTTCATTACCCATTCAAGCCGTCTCCAGCCATAATTAATATTGACTAAATTACTTGCTAGGAATTCTATAGTCATAAGAAAGAGGGCATAAGCTACATCCTGATTATAGATGTGGTGATACGATACAAGTATCGTGAAGCCGTGATACTATTTTATCATTACATCGCAATATGATTTAATTTGGGTATCTTCACGAAATTTGGCAAGCTTTCAGTAAACATCACAAGTCTTTTGTGCAGAAAAAATC